GCCCGCCGCCGGGCGCTCAAGGCCCGCTCCAAGTCCTGCCACAACCTGGCCGTGCTCTGAGGCCGCCCGCCCGCGCGCCCGGGCTGGGGGGACACTGGGGTGCACCGTGCTCCACGCACGCCACCGAGGAGCAGAAGCGCAGGGACCTGGGGCGCGCACGGTGGGCCTCACCCAACCTCTGCCCCGGGGGCCAGCGCATCTGCCGCAGCCACGGCTTCAGGGACCCCTCCGTCCTGGGAAGCAACATACAGACTATGGGCCCGAAGCCCAAGCGGGGCACAGATTTTTTTTTTTTTTTTTTTTTTTNGTATTTTTGTAAAAAAAAAAAACCTTTTCTTTATCCTTGGGCTCTGGGCAACCCTTAGAAACACTCCCCCCACTTCGCCCCCGCCCCAAGAAAACCCACAGACCAGAAGGTTCTCCCGTCTGGATGCCCAGACGTCTTTGGGGTTCATCCAGGCGTCTCCACCTCCTACTCTCCCATTACACTGGCTACAGACTGGGTTGGCCTGCTGACCGGGTCAGGGTCAGGGTCAGGGTCAGGGTCGGTCAATAAAATCATTGGAACGACTGTGCGTTCAGGCCTTGTCCCAACCACTGGGCGCCACCCCTGCCCCCAGTTTTTGAGGAAGACCCAGTGGAGCGCTGTCACAGTGATGACCTCTTATTTTGTCAGTAGCCCATGTTTTAGGTGATAGGTTCATGAAATATTATCTGGGAAGGATTTTAGCACACATCCTGGCAATAAAATAGCTGCTGTTTGTTGGGAGCTGTCTGTGTACAAAGCTGTCACAACTGTTAATTAACCTTCACAACCCCTGTGTAATAATTAGACAACCGAGGCACAGGACAATGTAGGGTCCTGCTCAAGATCATGCAACTGCCATAGTGAAGTTGCCAGGATTCCAATCCAGGCTTGTCAGACTAGAGTCTCTACCCAACCTATCCGCGGTCCTCTTGGAAAATGTGACAAAAAGCTATAGAGTCCCCGGGGAAATTGACTTTCAAACACAATTTTGTATACAATTTAAAGAGGAGAATTAGGCTTCATGAAACTCAATCTGTTTATCCCCAGGATGGACCCCCAATTTAGTCCAACTCATTCATTTCTCTGAATGTAGAAACTGAAACCCAGAGTGGGGAAGTGAACACCCCAGGGTCACCCAGCCAGTGACGGCGAAGACTAGATCCCAGGGCCCAGCCTCCTCCTATGTCTGCGCAGGAAGTAGGAGGTAGTGAGGCATCCAGGCTGGCTGGGGATGGGGTCTGGGGGTCAGGTCAGGAGTTTCCAGCCTAAGGTGAAGGGGTGTCACTAATTTGAGAGAACAAGATGTAAACAGTTTGGACCATCGTGTCCCTGATGCCTGACAGCACTGCCCCCAAATCGCTGCCCTTCCAGATGCCTCAGCCCCGACGTGGGCCCTGTCCCTGCCGCCAGGAACACCATGCCAAGGAAGAGTAAAGCAAGGGCAGGCAAGCCATAGCCTCCCGCTGTGACAACCCCCCCCCCAGCCATCTTGCCAGCCAGGCACTGATGGCACTTATTTCCCCACCCCAACTCCAGCTTGGGGAAGGGAAGGGGGGGGGTCTTCCCCCACCCCAAGCTGTCCTCAGCCTGTGGTCGTGGGGGAGGGGCTATAGTTGTGGAAAGTTGGCAGAGACAGCCTGCAGCAGCCGGGAGAGTGGAAAAAATGATATCAAACCCGGAAAAATGCAGGCCGGATGGAGGGCCTGAGTTGGCCC